AATGAGGGGGGTGATTAGGAGGGGTCATTAATGCGGTTAATTAATGGGCTTAATGAGGGGTAATTAGATGGTAATGAGGGGGCGATTAGATGGTAATGAGGGGGTAATCAGGATGGGTCATTAATGGGGTTAATTAATGAGGGGGTAATTAATGGCGTTAATGAGGGGGTAATTAGATGGTAATGAGAGGGTAATTAGGGGGCATTAATGGGGTTAATTAGGGGTGGGGTAATTAATGGGCTTAATAAGAGGTAATTGGTAATTAAGGGGGTTAATTAGGAGGGGTCATTAATGGGCTTAATAAGGGGCAATTAGTTGGTAATGAGGGGGTAATTAGGAGGGGTCATTAATGGGTTAATTAGGGAGGGGGTAATTAATGGCCTTAATGAGGGGGTAATTAGGGTTATAAATAAGGTAATGGAGGTATTAATGAGGGGGGTTAATTAGGAGGGGTTAATTAATGGAGTCAAACCCCTCATTTTTGGGTTCAAAACCCCCATTTTTGGGTCAATCCCCCCCATTTTGGGTTCAAAACCCCCATTTTTGGCTCAATCCCCCCATTTTGGGTTCAAAACCCCCATTTTTGGGTCAATCCCCCCCATTTTTGGTTCGAAACCCCCATTTTTGGGTCAATCCCCCCCATTTTGGGTTCAAAACCTCCATTTTTGGGTCAATCCCCCCCATTTTGGGTTCAAAACCCCCATTTTTGGGTCAATCCCCCCCATTTTGGGCTCAAAACCCCCATTTTTGGGTCAATCCCCCCCATTTTGGGTTCAAAACCCCCATTTTTGGGTCAATCCCCCCCATTTTGGGTTCAAAACCCCCATTTTTGGGTCAATCCCCCCCATTTTGGGCTCAAAACCCCCATTTTTGGGTCAATCCCCCCCATTTTGGGCTCAAAACCCCCATTTTTGGGTCAATCCCCCCCATTTTGGGTTCAAAACCCCCATTTTTGGGTCAATCCCCCCCATTTTGGGTTCAAAACCCCCATTTTTGGGTCAATCCCCCCCATTTTGGGTTCAAAACCTCCATTTTTGGGTCAATCCCTCCCCATTTTGGGTTCAAAACCCCCATTTTTGGGTCAATCCCCCCCATTTTGGGTTCAAAACCCCCATTTTTGGGTCAATCCCCCCCATTTTGGGTTCAAAACCCCCATTTTTGGGTCAAACCCCCCCCATTTTGGGTTCAAAAAACCCATTTTTGGGTCAATCCCCCCATTTTGGGTTCAAAACCCCCATTTTTGGGTCAATCCCCCCCATTTTGGGTTCAAAACCCCCATTTTTGGGTCAATCCCCCCCATTTTGGGCTCAAAACCCCCATTTTTGGGTCAATCCCCCCATTTTGGGTTCAAAACCCCCATTTTTGGGTCAATCCACCCATTTTGGGTTCAAAACCCCCATTTTTGGGTCAATCCCCCCCATTTTGGGTTCAAAACCCCCATTTTTGGGTCAATCCCCCCCATTTTGGGCTCAAAACCCCCATTTTTGGGTCAATCCCCCCCATTTTGGGCTCAAAACCCCCATTTTTGGGTCAATCCCCCCCATTTTGGGTTCAAAACCCCCATTTTTGGGTCAATCCCCCCCATTTTGGGCTCAAAACCCCCATTTTTGGGTCAATCCCCCCCATTTTGGGTTCAAAACCCCCATTTTTGGGTCAATCCCCCCCATTTTGGGCTCAAAACCCCCATTTTTGGGTCAATCCCCCCCATTTTGGGTTCAAAACCCCCATTTTTGGGTCAATCCCCCCATTTTGGGTTCAAAACCCCCATTTTTGGGTCAATCCCCCCCATTTTGGGTTCAAAACCCCCATTTTTGGGTCAATTCCCCCATTTTGGGGTCAAAACCCCCATTTTTGGCTCAATCCCCCCCATTTTGGGCTCAAAACCCCCATTTTTGGGTTCAATCCCCCCTCATTTTGGGTTCAAAACCCCCATTTTTGGGTCAATCCCCCCCATTTTGGGTTCAAAACCCCCATTTTTGGGTCAATCCCCCCCATTTTGGGCTCAAAACCCCCATTTTTGGGTCAATCCCCCCATTTTGGGCTCAAAACCCCCATTTTTGGGTCAATCCCCCCCATTTTGGGCTCAAAACCCCCATTTTTGGGTCAATCCCTCCCCATTTTGGGTTCAAAACCCCCATTTTTGGGTCAATCCCCCCATTTTTGGGCTCAAAACCTCCATTTTTGGGTCAATCCCCCCCATTTTGGGTTCAAAACCCCCATTTTTGGCTCAATTTCCCCCATTTTGGGTTCAAAACCCCCATTTTTGGGTCAATCCCCCCCATTTTGGGTTCAAAACCCCCATTTTTGGGTCAATCCCCCCCATTTTGGGCTCAAAACCCCCATTTTTGGGGTCAATCCCCCCATTTTGGGTTCAAAACCCCCATTTTTGGGTCAATCCCTCCCCATTTTGGGTTCAAAACCCCCATTTTTGGGTCAATCCCCCCATTTTTGGGCTCAAAACCCCCATTTTTGGATCAATCCCCCCCATTTTTGGGCTCAAAACCCCCATTTTTGGGTCAATCCCCCCCATTTTGGGCTCAAAACCCCCATTTTTGGCTCAATCCCCCCCATTTTGGGCTCAAAACCCCCATTTTTGGGTTCAATCCCCCCTCATTTTGGGTTCAAAACCCCCATTTTTGGGTCAATCCCCCCATTTTGGGTTCAAAACCCCCATTTTTGGGTCAATCCCCCCCATTTTTGGTTCGAAACCCCCATTTTTGGGTCAATCCCCCCCATTTTGGGTTCAAAACCCCCATTTTTGGGTCAATCCCCCCCATTTTGGGTTCAAAACCCCCATTTTTGGGTCAATCCCCCCCATTTTGGGTTCAAAACCTCCATTTTTGGGTCAATCCCTCCCCATTTTGGGTTCAAAACCCCCATTTTTGGGTCAATCCCCCCCATTTTGGGTTCAAAACCCCCATTTTTGGGTCAATCCCCCCCATTTTGGGTTCAAAACCCCCATTTTTGGGTCAAACCCCCCCCATTTTGGGTTCAAAAAACCCATTTTTGGGTCAATCCCCCCATTTTGGGTTCAAAACCTCCATTTTTGGGTCAATCCCCCCCATTTTGGGTTCAAAACCCCCATTTTTGGGTCAATCCCCCCCATTTTGGGCTCAAAACCCCCATTTTTGGGTCAATCCCCCCATTTTGGGTTCAAAACCCCCATTTTTGGGTCAATCCACCCATTTTGGGTTCAAAACCCCCATTTTTGGGTCAATCCCCCCCATTTTGGGTTCAAAACCCCCATTTTTGGGTCAATCCACCCATTTTGGGTTCAAAACCCCCATTTTTGGGTTCAATCCCCCCCATTTTGGGTTCAAAACCCCCATTTTTGGGTCAATCCCCCCCATTTTGGGTTCAAAACCCCCATTTTTGGGTCAATCCCCCCCATTTTGGGTTCAAAACCCCCATTTTTGGGTCAATCCCCCCCATTTTGGGTTCAAAACCCCCATTTTTGGGTCAATCCCCCCCCATTTTGGGTTCAAAACCCCCATTTTTGGGTCAATCCCCCCCATTTTGGGTTCAAACCCCCCATTTTTGTGTCAATCCCCCCATTTTTGGGTTCAAAACCCCCATTTTTGGGTCAATCCCCCCCATTTTGGGTTCAAAACCCCCATTTTTGGGTCAATCCCCCCATTTTGGGTTCAAAACCTCCATTTTTGCGTCAATCCCCCCATTTTGGGTTCAAAACCTCCATTTTTGGGTCAATCCCCCACAATTTGGGTTCAAAACCCCCATTTTTGGGTCAATCCCCCCCATTTTGGGTTCAAAACCCCCATTTTTGGCTCAATCCCCCCCATTTTGGGCTCAAAACCCCCATTTTTGTGTCAATCCCCCCATTTTGGGCTCAAAACCCCCATTTTTGGGTCAAACCCCCCCATAGAAAACCAAAGCTTTTATTGCCCTTGGGAACGGGGCTAAACTGGGTGGACTGGGATGAACTGGGATGGACTGGGATGGATTGGGATGGATTGGGATGGACTGGGATGGACTGGGATGGATTGGGAGGTAACTGGGAGGTAACTGGGATAGACTGGGATGAACTGGGATGAACTGGGATGAACTGGGATGGACTGGGATGGACTGGGATGGACTGGGATGGACTGGGAGGTAACTGGGATGGACTGGGATGAACTGGGAGTAAACTGGGATGAACTGGGATGGACTGGGATGGACTGGGATGGACTGGGAGGTAACTGGGAGGTAACTGGGATGGATTGGGATGAACTGGGATGAACTGGGATGGATTGGGATGAACTGGGATGGATTGGGAGGTAACTGGGAGGTAACTGGGATGGATTGGGATGGACTGGGATGGACTGGGATGGACTGGGAGGTAACTGGGAGGTAACTGGGGTGGGCTGGGATGGACTGGGATGAACTGGGATGAACTGGGATGGACTGGAATGAACTGGGACTGAACTGGGACTGCACTGACTTGGTCTGTACTGGGATGTGCTGGGATAAACTGGGACTAAACTGGGATGAACTGGGATGAACTGGGATGGACTGGGACTGAACTGGGACTGCACTGAATTGGTCTGTACTGGGATGTGCTGGGATGAACTGGGAATGAACTGGGATGAACTGGGACTAAACTGGGATGAACTGGGATGAACTGGAAATGAACTGGGATGAACTGGGATGAACTGGAAATGAACTGGGATGAACTGGGACTGAACTGGGATGAACTGGTCTGTACTGGGATGTGCTGGGATAAACTGGGACTAAACTGGGATGAACTGGTCTGTACTGGGATGAACTGGGATGAACTGGGACTAAACTGGGTCTGAACTGGGATGAGCTGGGAATGAACTGGGATGAACTGGGACGAACTGGGACTAAACTGGTCTGAACTGGGACTAAACTGGGATGTGCTGGGATGAACTGGGATGTAAGTGGGACTGAACTGGTCTGAACTGGTCTGAACTGGTCTGAACTGGTCTGAACTGGTCTGTACTGGTCTGAACTGGTCTGAACTGGTCTGTACTGGTTTGAGCTCAGTCCCGGTGCAGCCGCAGCCGGAACGCCACCCTGCCGGCGAACTTGTCCCTCCCGTCGCCGCTGTCGCGATAGTCGCCTCCGCTGTCGCGATAGTCGCCGCCTTTATCGCGATAGTCGCCGCCTTTATCGCGATAGTCCCCTCCGCTATCGCGATAGTCGCCGCCGTTATCGCGATATTCGCCGCCGTTATCGCGATAGTCGCCGCCGCTGTCGCGATAGTCGCCGCGCCGCCCCTCCCGCAGCCGGCACTCCACGTGGTGCTGCACCCCCGGCGTGGCGTTGGCGAAGAGCACGGCCACCACCGGCTGGGAGTAGTTCACCTGCGGTGGGGCAGAGAGAGAGACTATGGGGCGCTATGGGGTGTTCTATGGGGTTTTCTATGGGGCGCTATGGGGTTTTCTATGGGGTGTTCTATGGGGCGCTATGGGGTGTTCTATGGGGTCCCTATGGGGTTTTCTATGGGGCGCTATGGGGCTCTATGGGGTCCCTATGGGGCTCTATGGGGGTCTATGGATCTCTATGGGGTCCCTATGGGGCGCTATGGGGTTCTATGGGGCTCTATGGGGTCCCTATGGGGCGCTATGGGGTTCTATGGGGCTCTATGGGGTCCCTATGGGGCGCTATGGGGTTTTCTATGGGGCGCTATGGGGTCCTATGGGGTTTTCTATGGGGCGCTATGGGGCTCTGTGGGTCTCTATGGGGTCCCTATGGCGTGCTATGGGGTCCCTATGGGGCTCTATGGGGTCCCTATGGGGCGCTATGGGGTTTTCTATGGGGTCCCTATGGGGCGCTATGGGGTTTTCTATGGGGCTCTATGGGGTCCCTATGGGGCGCTATGGGTTTTTCTATGGGGCTCTATGGGGTCCCTATGGGGTTCTATGGGGTCCCTATGGGGTTCTATGGGGTCCCTATGGGGCTCTATGGGGTTCTCTGGGGTTCTATGGGGTCCCTATAGGGCTCTATGGGTCTCTATGTGGTCCCTATGGCGTTCTATGGGTCTCTATGGGGTCCCTATGGGGCTCTATGGGGTCCCTATGGGGTTCTATGGGTCTCTATGGGGTTCTATGGGGTCCCTCTGGGTCTCTATGGGATCCCTATGGGGGGCTATGGGGTCCCTATGGGGTTCTATGGGGTCCCTATGGGTCTCTATGGGGTACCTATGGGGCTCTATGGGGTCCCTGTGGGGCTCTATGGGTCTCTATGGAGTCCCTATGGGGTTCTATGGGTCTCTATGGGGCCCCTATGGGGTTCTATGGGGTCCCTATGGGTCTCTATGGGGTCCCTATGGGGTGCTATGGGGTCCCTATGGGGTTCTATGGGTCTCTATGGGGCCCCTATGGGGTTCTATGGGTCTCTATGGGGCTCCTATGGGGTTCTATGGGGTCCCTGTGGGGTTCTATGGGGTCCCTGTGGGGTTCTATGGGGTGCCTATGGGTCTCTATGGGGTATCTATGGGGCTCTATGTGCCCCATAGGACCTCAGCACCCTAGCACCCATGGGTGCCCCATAAGACACTCCTCTCCCAGCACCCATGGGTGCCCCATAGGACACTCCTCTCCCAGCACCCAGGGGTGCCCCATAGCACCCATGGGTGCCCTATAGGACCAACCCCCACCCCCAGCACCCATTGGTGCCCCATAGGACCTCAGCGCCCTAGCACCCATGGGTGCCCCATAGGACCCATTGGTGCCCCATAGGACCACCACCCCCAACACCCATGGGTGCCCCATAGGACCCCTGTCCCCCAGCACCCATGGGTGCCCCATAGGACCCATTGGTGCCCGATAGGACCCATTGGTGCCCCATAGGACCTCCGCGCCCTAGCACCTATGGGTGCCCCATAGCACCCATGGGTGCCCCATAGGACCAACCCCCACCCCCAGCACCCATGGGTGCCCCATAGGACCACCACCCCAGCATCCATGGGTGCCCCATAGGACATCCCTCTCCCAGCACCCATGGGTGCCCCATAGGACCTCCGTGCCCCAGCACCCATGGGTGCCCCATAGGACACCCCTCTCCCAGCACCCATGGGTGCCCTATAGGACACCCCTCTCCCAGCACCCATGGGTGCCCTATAGGACCCCTGTCCCCCAGCACCCATGGGTGACCCATAGGACACCCCTCTCCCAGCACCCATGGGTGCCCTATAGGACCCCTGTCCCCCAGCACCCATGGGTGCCCCATAGGACCCATTGGTGCCCCATAGGACCACCACCCCCAGCACCCATGGGTGCCCCATAGGACCACCACCCCCAGCACCCATGGGTGCCCCATAGGACCCCTGTCCCCCAGCACCCATGGGTGCTCCATAGCACCCATGGGTGCCCCATAGGACACATTGGTGCCCCATAGGACCACCACCCCCAGCACCCATGGGTGCCCCATAGGACCCCTGTCCCCCAGCACCCATGGGTGCCCCATAGCACCCATGGGTGCCCCATAGCACTCACGTGCACCCTCTTGCCGTAGTAGGGGAAGTACATGAGGTCCACGGAGCCATTGGGGGGGAAGAGGTGGAGGGGGCCCAGGAGGGCGGCGTCTTCCTCGTCCTATGGGGCAGGAGGCGAGGGGTGAGCGCCCTGCCCCATAGCGACCCATAGAGACCCCATAGAGACCCATAGAGACCCATAGAGACCCCATAGAGACCCATAGTGACCCATAGAGACCCCATAGAGACCCATAGTGACCCATAGAGACCCATAGTGACCCATAGTGACCCATAGAGACCCCAGAGAGACCCATAGCGACCCCATAGAGACCCCAGAGAGACCCCAGAGAGACCCATAGCGACCTATAGAGACCCATAGTGACCCATAGAGACCCCATAGCGACCCATGGAGACCACAGAGAGACCCATAGCGACCCCATAGAGACCCATAGAGACCCCATAGAGACCCATAGCGACCCATAGAGACCCATAGCGACCCATAGAGACCCCATAGAGACCCATAGCGACCCATAGAGACCCATAGCGACCTATAGAGACCCATAGAGACCCCATAGCGACCCCGTAGAGACCCATAGCAACCCATAGAGACCCCAGAGATACCCATAGTGACCCCATAGAGACCCATAGCGACCCATAGAGACCCATAGAAACCCCAGAGAGACCCCTCTCTGCTCCATAGAGACCCCTCTCTGCCCCATAGAGCCCCCTTAATACCCCCCACTGCCCCATAGACAACCCAATCACCCTTTTCTGCCCCATAGACCCCCCAAATACCCTCCATAGCCCCCTATATACCCCCTATAGCCCCCTATATCCCCCTATACCCCCCATACCCCCCCATTTCCTGCCCCATATCCCCCCCAAACCCACCCATATCCCCCCTATACCTCCCCATATCCTGCCCCATATCCTCCCTATACCCCCCCATACCCCACATATCCCCCCCATATCCCCCCCTTACCCCCCCATATCCTGCCCCATATCCCCCCATACCCCCCATATCCCCCCCATACCCCCCCATATCCCCCCATACCCCCCCATATCCCCCCACATCCCCCCTATATGCCCCCCATACCCCCCCATATCCCCCCATACGCCCCTCATATCCCCCCATACCCCCCCATATCCTGCCCCATATCCTCTCATACCCACCCATACCCCCCATATCCCCCCATATCCTGCCCCATATCCCCCCCTACCCCCCCATATCCCCCCATATCCTGCCCCATATTCTGCCCCATATCCACCCCCATACCCCCTATATCCCCCCATACCTCCCCTATATCCCCCCCATACCCCCCCATACCCTGCCCCATACTCCCCCATATCCCCCCATACCCCCCCATATCCTGCCCCATATCCCCCCATACCCCCCCATATCCCCCCATATCCCCCCATAACCCCCATATCCTGCCCCATATCCCTCCCATACCCCCCCATATCCCCCTATATCCCCCCCCATACCCACCCATACCCCCCATATCCCCCCATACCTCCCCCATATCCCCCCATATCCTGCCCCATATCCCCCCCTACCCCCCCATATCCCCCCATAACCCCCATATCCTGCCCCATATTCTGCCCCATATCCCTCCCATACCCCCCCATATCCCCCTATATCCCCCCCATACCCCACCCCACATCCTGCCCCACATCCTGCCCCACATCCCAGTCCCTTACACTGGTGTCCGACTGCCCCTGCGGCCGGGGAGAGAGAACGGGGTATTATGGGATGGCAGGGGGGTATTATGGGATGGCGGGGGGGGTACCATGGGGTATTATGGGATGGCAGGGGGGGTATTATGGGATGGAGGGGGGGGTACCATGGGGTATTATGGGATGGAGGGGGGTACCATGGGGTATTATGGGATGGCAGGGGGGGTACCATGGGGTATTATGGGATGGAGGGGGGGTACCATGGGGTATTATGGGATGGAGGGGGGGGTACCATGGGGTATTATGGGATGGAGGGGGGGTACCATGGGGTATTATGGGATGGAGGGGGGGTACCATGGGGTATTATGGGATGGCAGGGGGGTACCATGGGGTATTATGGGATGGAGGGGGGGTACCATGGGGTATTATGGGATGGAGGGGGGGGTACCATGGGGTATTATGGGATGGCAGGGGGGTATTATGGGATGGAGGGGGGTACCATGGGGTATTATGGGATGGCAGGGGGGGTACCATGGGGTATTATGGGATGGAGGGGGGGTACCATGGGGTATTATGGGATGGAGGGGGGGTACCATGGGGTATTATGGGATGGAGGGGGGGTACCATGGGGTATTATGGGATGGCAGGGGGGGTACCATGGGGTATTATGGGATGGAGGGGGGGTACCATGGGGTATTATGGGATGGAGGGGGGGGTACCATGGGGTATTATGGGATGGCAGGGGGGGTACCGTGGGGTATTATGGGATGTCATGGGGTATTATGGGATGGAGGGGGGGTACCATGGGGTATTATGGGATGGCAGGGGGGGTACCATGGGGTATTATGGGATGGAGGGGGGTATTATGGGATGGAGGGGGGGTACCATGGGGTATTATGGGATGGAGGGGGGGTACCGTGGGGTATTATGGGATGGAGGGGGGGGTACCGTGGGGTATTATGGGATGTCATGGGATACGATGGGATATTATGGGATGTCATGGGGTATGATGGGATACTATGGGGTATTATGGGATGTCATGGGGTATTATGGGATGCTAGGGGATATTATAGGATACTATGGAATATTATGAGATACAATGGGATATTATGGGATGTCATGGGATACGATGAGCTATTATGGGATGTCATGGGATATTACAGGATATCATGGGATGTCATGGTATACTATGGGATATTATGGGATGTCATGGGATATTATGGGATATCGTGGGATATGATGGGATATTATGAGATATTATGGGATATTATGGGATATCATGCAATACCATTTATATTATGGGATATTATGGGATATGGGACATTATGGGAGATGCTGGGCACCCAGCAGCATTTTGGGGTGAAAATAACCTATTTTGGGGCACCTAAGTGGGATTCTGGGGTGAAAACAGCACATTTGGGGACTTCTAGAAGTATTTTGGGGTGAGAAGAGCAGATTTGGGGGCATCTAGAAGGCTTTTGGGGTGAAATTGCACCATTTGGGGCAATTAGAAGGGGTTTGGGGCAAAAAGAGCACATTTTGGATCATTCAAGAGCGTTTTTGGGGTTGAGAATAGCACTTTCAGGGGCATTCAGCAGCCTTTTGGGGTGAAAAGAACCTATTTTGGGGTATCTAGAAGCATTTTGGGGTGAAAATAGCACATTTTGGGTCATTAAGCAGCATTTTGGGGTGAAAATAGCACATTTTGGGTCATTAAGCAGCCTTTTGGGGTGAAAAGAACCTATTTTGGGGCATCTAGAAGCATTTTGGGGTGAAAATAGCACATTTTGGGGCATTCAGCAGCATTTTGGGGTGAAAAGAACCTATTTTGGGGCATCTAGAAGCATTTTTGGGTGAAAATACCCTATTTTGGGGTATCTAGAAGCATTTTGTGGTGAAAAGAGCACATTTTGGGGCATTAAGCAGCATTTTGGGGTGAAAATAGCACATTTTGGGGCATTAAGCAGCATTTTTGGGTGAAAATACCCTATTTTGGGGCATCTAGAAGCATTTTGGGGTGAAAAGAGCACATTTTGGGGCATTCAGCAGCATTTTGGGATGAAAATAGCACATTTTGGGGCATTCAGCAGCATTTTGGGGTGAAAAGAGCACATTTTGGGGCATCTAGAAGCATTTTGGGGTGAAAATAGCACATTTTGGGGCATTCAGCAGCATTTTGGGGTGAAAATAGCACATTTTGGTGCATTCAGCAGCCTTTTGGGGTGAAAAGAACCTATTTTGGGGCATCTAGAAGCATTTTGGGGTGAAAACAGCACATTTTGGGGCATTCAGCAGCATTTTGGGGTGAAAAGAACCTATTTTGGGGCATCTAGAAGCATTTTGGGGTGAAAAGAGCACATTTTGGTGCATTCAGCAGCATTTTGGGGTGAAAAGAGCACATTTTGGGTCATTAAGCAGCATTTTGGGGTGAAAATAGCACATTTTGGGGCATTCAGCAGCATTTTGGGGAGAAAATAGCACATTTTGGGGCATTCAGCAGCATTTTGGTGTGAAAATAGCACATTTTGGGGCATTCAGCAGCATTTTGGGGTGAAAATAGCACATTTTGGTGCATTCAGCAGCCTTTTGGGGTGAAAAGAACCTATTTTGGGGCATCTAGAAGCATTTTGGGGTGAAAACAGCACATTTTGGGGCATTCAGCAGCATTTTGGGGTGAAAAGAACCTATTTTGGGGCATCTAGAAGCATTTTGGGGTGAAAAGAGCACATTTTGGTGCATTCAGCAGCATTTTGGGGTGAAAAGAGCACATTTTGGGTCATTAAGCAGCATTTTGGGGGTGAAAATAGCACATTTTGGGGCATTCAGCAGCATTTTGGGGAGAAAATAGCACATTTTGGGGCATTCAGCAGCATTTTTGGTGTGAAAATAGCACATTTTGGGGCATTCAGCAGCATTTTGGGGTGAAAAGAGCACATTTTGGGGCATTCAGCAGCATTTTGGGGTGAAAAGAGCACATTTTGGGGCATTAAGCAGCATTTTGGGGTGAAAAGAGCACATTTTGGGGCATTCAGCAGCATTTTGGGGTGAAAATAGCACATTTTGGGGCATTCAGCAGCCTTTTGGGGTGAAAAGAGCACATTTTGGGTCATTAAGCAGCATTTTGGGGTGAAAAGAGCACATTTTGGGGCATTCAGCAGCATTTTGGGGTGAAAATAGCACGTTTTGGGGCATTCAGCAGCATTTTGGGTGAAAATAGCACATTTTGGGGCATTCAGCAGCATTTTGGAGTGAAAATAGCACATTTTGGGGCATTCAGCAGCATTTTGGGGTGAAAAGAACCTATTTTGGGGCATCTAGAAGCATTTTGGGGTGAAAATAGCACATTTTGGGTCATTAAGCAGCATTTTGGGGTGAAAATAGCACATTTTGGGTCATTAAGCAGCCTTTTGGGGTGAAAAGAACCTATTTTGGGGCATCTAGAAGCATTTTGGGGTGAAAATAGCACATTTTGGGGCATTCAGCAGCATTTTGGGGTGAAAAGAACCTATTTTGGGGCATCTAGAAGCATTTTTGGGTGAAAATACCCTATTTTGGGGTATCTAGAAGCATTTTGTGGTGAAAAGAGCACATTTTGGGGCATTAAGCAGCATTTTGGGGTGAAAATAGCACATTTTGGGGCATTCAGCAGCATTTTGGGGTGAAAAGAGCACATTTTGGGGTGAAAAGAGCACATTTTGGGGCATTCAGCAGCATTTTTGGGTGAAAATACCCTATTTTGGGGCATCTAGAAGCATTTTGGGGTGAAAAGAGCACATTTTGGGGCATTCAGCAGCCTTTTTGGGTGAAAATAACACATTTTGGGTCATTAAGCAGCATTTTGGGGTGAAAATAGCACATTTTGGGTCATTAAGCAGCATTTTGGGGTGAAAATAGCACATTTTGGTGCATTCAGCAGCATTTTGGGGTGAAAATAGCACATTTTGGGTCATTAAGCAGCATTTTGGGGTGAAAATAGCACATTTTGGTGCATTCAGCAGCATTTTGGGGAGAAAATAGCACATTTGGGGTCATCTAGAAGGCTTTCGGCATGAAAATAGCGCTTTTTGGCTCATCTAGAAGCAATTTTGGGGTGAATTGAGGCTATTTTGGGGGTCAACCCCCCCTTACCAGGTCACCCTTTGATCGGGGCCGCTGGGGAGAGACGAGAGGCAGTGAGGGGGGGCACTGGGTTATACTGGGGGGGTAATGGGGAGACTGGGAGGATAATGGGGTGATAATGGGGTGATAATGGGGTGATAATGGGGTGATAATGGGGAGACTGGGGTGATACTGGGGTGATAATGGGGATACTGGGGTTATACTGGGGTGATAAAGGGGTGATAATGGGGATACTGGGGTGATACTGGGGTGATAATGGGGATATTGGAGGGATACTGGGGGGATACTGGGATGATAAAGGGGATATTGGGGTGATAATGGGATGATGCTGGTGTGATAATGGGGATACTGGGGTGATACTGGGGTGATAATGGGGATATTGGAGGGATACTGGGGGGATACTGGGATGATAAAGGGGATATTGGGGTGATAATGGGATGATGCTGGTGTGATAATGGGGATACTGGGGTGATACTGGGGTGATAATGGGGATACTGGGGCGATACTGGGAGGATGCTCGTGTGCTAATGGGGATACTGGTGTGATACTGGGGATACTGGGGGGATACTGGTGTGACACTGGGGATACTGGTGTGATACTGGGGATACTGGGGATACTGGTGTGACACTGGGGATACTGGTGTGACACTGGGGATACTGGGGGGATACTGGTGTGATACTGGGGATACTGGGGGGATACTGGTGTGATACTGGGGATACTGGTGTGATACTGGGGATACTGGGGGGATACTGGTGTGATACTGGGGATACTGGTGTGATACTGGGGATACTGGGGGGATACTGGTGTGATACTGGGGATACTGGGGGGATACTGGTGTGATACTGGGGATACTGGTGTGATACTGGGGATACTGGGGGGATACTGGTGTGATACTGGGGATACTGGTGTGATACTGGGGATACTGGTGTGATACTGGGGATACTGGGGGATACTGGTGTGATACTGGGGATACTGGTGTGATACTGGGGATACTGGTGTGATACTGGGGATACTGGGGGGATACTGGTGTGATACTGGGGATACTGGTGTGATACTGGGGATACTGGTGTGATACTGGGGTCACCTTTGCTGCGCAGACCACGTTGATGCTCTTGTTCCTCCCAGGGAAGAAGTTGATGATCTATGGGATGAGAAGGGTTAAGGCACCACTATGGACCAGTATGGACCAGTATGGACCAGTATGGACCAGTGCACTGCAGTAAGTAACGCATCCGAGGCCATCCCAGTGCATCCCAGTGCTCCCAGTCCAATGCATTCCATTGCCAAGCCATTGCAATGGGCTTCATCCCAGCACCGCGCTGGGTCCTAGTGCCTGCCTGTCCCATCCCCGGTCCCCATCCCATTGCCCCCCATCCCCATCCCATTGCCCTCCCATTGCTCCCAGTCTCCATCCCATTGCCCCCCATCACCACCCCAGTGCTCCCAGTCTCTCCCAGTCCTTCCCAGTGCCCCCCAGTCCAATGCACCCCATTGCCAAGCCCCCCAAGCCATTGCAATGGGCTTCATCCCAGCACCGCGCAGGGTCCTAGTGCCCACCAGTCCCATCCCCAGTCCCCATCCCATTGCCTCCCATTGCTCCCAGTCACCATCCCATTGCCCCCCATCACCACCCCAGTGGTCCCAGTCCCTCCCAGTGCCTCCCAGTCCAATGCACCCCATTGCCAAGCCCCCCAAGCCATTGCAATGGGCTTCATCCCAGCCCCGCGCTGGGTCCTAGTGCCCGACCCCTCGCAGGGTCCTAGTGCCCTCCAGTCCCACCGCCGGTCCCCATCCCATTGCCCCCCCCAATCCCCATCCCATTGCCCCCCATCGCTCCCAATCCCCACCCCAATGCCCCCCATCCCCACCCCAGTCCCTCCCAGTCCCTCCCACTCTCACCCTATTGATCTTGACGAGCACGCAGGGCTGGCCCGTGCCGTAGCCGTAGGTCTCGCTATGGGGCGGCCCCAGCCCCGCGCAGGGTCCTAGAGCGCTCCGGTTAAAGCGGCAGGCCCGCTTGGGCACGTTGGGGACCCCGTCGTCGGGTTGCTCGTTGTAACGGCCCGGGGTGCAGGCGGCGTTGCGGGCGGCCTGGACGCTGTCGTTGTAGGCTGAAGGAGGAGGCAAGGGACCCGCAGCACCCATAGGGCACCCATGGGATCCGTAGGGCACCCTGAGGGTCCGTAGGGCACCCGTAGAGCGCCCTGAACGGCCATAGAGCAGCCATAGCAACCATAGAGCATCCATAAAGCATCCGGAGCAACCACAGTGTCCATAGCAACCACGGAGCATCCATAGCAACCATAGAGCATCCATAAAGCATCCGGAGCAACCACAGAGCATCCATAGCAACCATAGAGCATCCATAGAGCATCCATAGCAACCACAGCATCCATAGCAACCACAGAGCATCCATAGCAACCATAGAGCATCCATAAAGCACCCAGAGCAACCACAGAGCATCCATAGCAACCATAGAGCATCCATAAAGCATCCATAGCAACCACAGCATCCATAGCAACCACAGAGGATCCATAGCAACCATAGAGCATCCATAAAGCATCCATAGCAACCACAGGGTCCATAGCAACCACAGAGGATCCATAGCAACCATAGACCATCCATAAAGCATCCATAGCAACTACAGTGTCCATAGCAACCACAGAGCATCCATAGAGTCCATAGTAACCATAGAGCATCCATAAAGCATCCAGAGCAACCAGTGTCCATAGCAACCACAGAGCAACCATAGCTTCCATAGTAACTATAGAGCATCCATTAAGCATCCAGAGCAACCACAGTGTCCATAGCAACCACAGAACATCCATAGCAACCATAGAGCATCCATAAAGCATCCATAGCAACCACAGTGTCCATAGCAACCACAGAGGATCCATAGCAACCATAGAGCATCCATAAAGCATCCAGAGCAACCACAGTGTCCATAGCAACCACAGAGCATCCATAGGAACCACAGAGCATCCATAAAGCATCCATAGCAACCACAGAGCATCCATAGCAACCATAGAGCATCCATAGAGCATCCATAGCAACCATAGCTTCCATAGTAACCATAGAGCATCCATAAAGCATCCATAGCAACCAGGGTCCATAGCAACCACAGAGCATCCATAGCAACCACAGTGTCCACAGCAACCACAGAGGATCCATAGCAACCATAGAGCATCCATAAAGCATCCAGAGCAACCACAGTGTCCATAGCAACCACAGAGGATCCATAGCAACCATAGACCATCCATAAAGCATCCATAGGAACCACAGTGCCCATAGCAACCATAGAGCATCCATAGCAACCAAAGAGCATCCCTAGAGTCCATAGTAACCATAGAGCATTCAGAAAGCATCCATAGCAACCACAGTGTCCATAGCAACCACAGAGCATCCATAGCAACCACAGTGTCCATAGCAACCACAGAACATCCATAGCAACCATAGAGCATCCATAAAGCATCCATAGCAACCACAGTGTCCATAGCAACCACAGAGCATCCATAGCAACCATAGAGAGTCCATAAAGCATCCATAGCAACCACAGTGTCCATAGCAACCACAGAGCATCCATAGCAACCATAGAGCATCCATAAAGCATCCATAGCAACCACAGTGTCCATAGCAACCACAGAGCATCCATAGCAACCATAGAGAGTCCATAAAGCATCCATAGCAACCACAGTGTCCATAGCAACCACAGAGCATCCATAGCAACCATAGAGTGTCCATAAAGCATCCATAGCAACCACAGTGTCCATAGCAACCACAGAGCATCCATAGCAACCATAGACCATCCATAAAGCATCCATAGCAACCACAGTGTCCATAGCAACCACAGAGCATCCATAGCAACCATAGAGCATCCATAGCAACCACAGAGCATCCATAAAGCATCCATAGCAACCACAGTGTCCATAGCAACCACAGAGCATCCATAGCAACCATAGAGCGTCCATAAAGCATCCATAGCAACCACAGTGTCCATAGCAACCACAGAGCATCCATAGCAACCATAGAGTGTCCATAAAGCATCTAGAGCAACCACAGTGTCCATAGCAACCACAGAGCATCCATAGCAACCACAGAGCATCTATAGCAACCACAGAGCATTCAGAAAGCATCCATAGCAACCACAGAGCATCCATAGCAACCACAGAGCATCCATAGCAACCACAGAGCATCCATAAAGCGTCCATAGCAACTACAGCATTCAAAGCAACCCAGTCGTCCCAGTGCCTCCCGGGATGGCCTAGAGCCCTCCCAGTACCCCCCATTATGTCCTATTGGTATCCCAGTACCCCACATTATGGTCTATGGGCATCCCAGTGCCTCCCAGTATGGCCTATGGCCATACCAGCACCCCCAATATGGCCTGTGGGCATACCAGTATGGTCTATGGGCATCCCAGCACACCCCAGTATGGCCTATGGGCATCCCAGTGCCTCCCAGTATGGCCTAGGGACATCCCAGTAGGGTCTATGAGCATCCCAGTACCCCTCATTATGGCCTATAGGCATCCCAGCACCACCCATTAAGGCCTATGGGCATCCCAGTGCCTCCCAGTATGGCCTATGGGCATCCCAGTATAGTCTATGGGCCTCCCAGTATGGCCTATGGGCATCCCAGTATCCCCCATTATGGTCTATGGGCATCCCAGTGCCTCCCAGTATGGCCTATGGGCATCCCAGTATAGTCTATGGGCCTCCCAGTATGGCCTATGGGCATCCCAGTATCCCCCATTATGGTCTATGGGCATCCCAGTGCCTCCCAGTATGGCCTATGGGCATCCCAGTATAGTCTATGGGCATCCCAGTATGGCCTATGGGCATCCCAGTATAGTCTATGGGCCTCCCAGTATGGCCCTATGGGCATCCCAGTATCCCCCATTATGGTCCATGGGCATCCCAGTATCCCCCATTATGGTCTATGGTCATCCCAGTGCCTCCCAGTATGGCCTATGCGCATCCCAGTATGGTCTATGTGCATCCTGGTAGGGTCTATGGGCATCCCAGTGCTTCCCAGTATGGCCTAGAGCCCTCCCAGTGCCCTCATTATGGCCTATGGGCATCCAGGAGCCCCCATTAAGGCATATGGGCATCCCAGTGCCTCCCAGTATGGCCTATGGGCATCCCAGTATAGTCTATGGGCCTCCCAGTATGGCCTATGGGCATCCCAGTATCCCCCATTATGGTCTATGGGCATCCCAGTATCCCCCATTATGGTCTATGGTCATCCCAGTGCCTCCCAGTATGGCCTATGCGCATCCCAGTATGGTCTATGGACATCCTGGTAGGGTCTATGGGCATCCCAGTGCTTCCCAGTATGGCCTAGAGCCCTCCCAGTGCCCTCATTAGGGCCTATGGGCATCCCAGGAGCCCCCATTAAGGCATATGGGCATCCCAGTGCCTCCCAGTATGGCCTATGGGCATCCCAGTATGGTCTATGGGCCTCCCAGTATGGCCTATGA